ATATATCTCGTCGTCCTCTACAAGAAAGGTCCTATGCAATTTTTCCGTATGTTCAACGGTTTGGGAGTTATTGGCCAAAAACGAAAATTTGGAAGAAATTAAAGGGGGTACCCCCTCTTGGAAAAGTCGAAAATTTTTTTTTGTTCTTTATTATTAACAATGTTCTTCCGACTTCTGCATAAACTTTTGGGATTGAAAGTATAGCCAATACATCCTTAATTTTTCTTATATAGCGACGAAAGGTTTGCTGGTTATTGAGATAAAGTGAAATACGTGATTATCGGTAATTATCAAGTATTCTTGTAATCTCCGTTTAAGAACAGGTCCGACCGATTTGCCTACAGTAAATTAAGTGTTATCTGAACGTTCGTACAAAAGATACGATTTTAACTCAAAATGAAACACATAAATAACTACGGTTGGTTGTTTGTCTTGGATAAACATTTCAACCCACGTATTGTCAGTTATCTCGAAAAAAATGACACGTACAAGGATGTACGTAGAATTCTTTTGTAAAACCGGGGTATAAAATGTCACGCACTCGCACGGTTTCTTCATACTGAAGGTGAAAAGAAGACTCAAAGCACACTAAACATGTCTAACTTCGTGGTAGCAATCGCGCTCTTCGCTGGACTGTTCGTCGCTTGTGAGTATTCTTCACAAAAATTATCATTATCATTATTCATTATTATTATTATTATTATTATTATTATAGAATCATTTTAATTTTTTAGTTCAAGGAGAAGTGGCAGGCCAACAGCAATCTTGCCCGCCAAACGAGGCCTTGAACCTTTGTGGAACTATGTGCGAACCAACTTGCGACAATCCAAACCCGAACCCTAGATTCTGTCCCAGACTTGTAAGTACGACACAAGCTAATATTATATACTCTACTTACAACGAATTTATTATGTTTCAGCAATGCACTATAGGGACTCAAGCTTGCCGATGCATCAGTGGAACTTACAGAAACGCGAATTCGCAGTGTGTTCCACTCGATCAGTGCTTGTCCTACAGAGATTAAATATGTACCGTTGTTTCTATTAAACCGCGTACAGCAAACGAAATGTATACGCAACGAAACTATTTTCAGTTTCAATTCTATTCTTCGCTTCCAAACTGTATAATTAATAAAATTGTCAACCTATGACGAGTTTCCTACTCGTAATGTGAACTCTCATTAAAATTTAAATTTATTGCATACATTCACGTCTAATTTAATATCTACGACTTCCTTACATACGAGCAAGTAGTATGAAATACAATTACAATTTTAAGTAGCATACGGACAATGTGTGCGAGGGAATTGCTCGCGCCTGGCAATAAAAAGTAGAATGCCGACAATGGTAATTTCGCGTGTCGCGCATTAATTAAAAATTGTTTGTCAAGATGAGGAAATGATGTACGCGAGGACGTGTTTAATTTACGTGGAGAAACCCAGGTTATAAAAGTCAATAACGTCGCCTGCCACAGTATCAGAACACCGAACGAAGCAGAGCAAGCATGTTCCGGTCCGTGGTCGCGTTCGCATTTTTCGCTGCGATGCTCGTCGCTTGTGAGTACAGTTTACAGCCTCGTATTGTGTCGAGCGATTGTAGAAAAATTTTATTCATCAGCTGAGATGGAAACGACGGCTCAGGAAGGAGTGGCTTGCCCAGTGAATGAACTTTGGTCGCCTTGCGCAAGAGCGTGCGAGCCAACGTGCATCAAACCCCAGCAATGTTATGCCGTGAGTTGCCTCAAACATGTAATGACGTAATAAACAAGTAAACTGCGGCTTTTATAGATAAAGTGTACTTTTAAAGAATATGCGAATGCAAGTTACGCGTGGGATATTAAGGATGTACTGGCTATACTTTCAATCCCAAAAGTTTATGCAGAAGTCGGAAGAACATTGTTAATAATAAAGAACAAAAAAAAATTTTCGACTTTTCCAAGGGGGGGGGGTACCCCTTTAATTTCTTCCAAATTTTCGTTTTTGGCCAATAACTCCCAAACCGTTGAACATACGGAAAAATTGCATAGGACCTTTCTTGTAGAGNATTATATTGCATTTTCAAAATTGATATTAAAACTTTTACTTTTGATAAAAATCCGGAGTGTTATGAGCAATTTTGTTTTAGAAATGCAGAGCGGATAGCCCTGGGGGTTGCCGTTGCCAAGATGGATACGTCAGGAATCCAAACAGCGATCAATGCGTGTTACTTGGAGAGTGTTAATTCGTTCATTATAATATTAGTGATGTTAAAGGATATCAATAAAGAGCATTCTTAAAACAGCAACAAAAGGTGTGATTACAAGCAATTATCATTATAAAACAGCATACAATTACATTTACAAATACATTTAAAAACGGACACTAAAAATGTTTTAAGAAGAGTTTGAAAATAGGTCCGACAACAAGCGCATCTTGAAAACAGCGTTTAGGTGTTCAGGAAAGTAGTAATTATGTTAAACAGAAAAGATGCACCTTGGAAATACGGAATATAAATACTACCGTAATCCAGCTGGTTTGCATAATTCAAACAGTTGGTAGCAAACGCTGAGCTATTGCACGCGAAGAATATACCAGAAACAAGGAAAACCATCCAGAAATTCGCATTCCCATTTGTACTTCTTGTTGTGGCCTACGCGATTGGTAAGTAATATAATATTATACGTATTTTTTACGACTCTTTATAAATAATTATAAGTATTGTTTCATTCCTATTCTTCATTCTTCGCTACTTTCTTTATAATAATTTATTTGGCAATTAACTATGGAATTTATTCTATCAGTCCAAGACTCGAGTGAGTGCGGAAAACTTGGAACTAAGACTTTGACGTAAAGACCGAGGCTTGTTGAAGTACAAGCGTGAGTGTATTTCATTGATATAATCAGCCACGATCGAGTATTTTGATGGTACAAACGAGAATCAATTTTTCAGTGGCGAAAATGTAAAAAAGGATGCAGATGCAAGGGTTGGTATAATAGAGACAGAGAAGGTAAGTGCGTAAAGGCTGAGGATTGTTAACTAGATCGAGTTTTCAGAAGTATTAATTAACTTAATCATACTGCTAACTTCTATACACGAATAAATACTGTTTATTCATCCGTTATCTAATACGATGAATAAATGCTACTAAGCGCTTTTTTTAAAATAAAACAGTAAATTATAAGCAGATTAGAGTTTTTATACAAAATATTTTTATACGACACTGAATGCGTGAGTTAAAAGTGAACTCTGTCATTTGTCACGAATAAATTGTGACTTATAACGCGTAGAAGAAAAAAGATTTACACTAATTAATGGTTACTAGAGTTAATACGGACACCAGAGTCTCTGACGAAAAAAGAACTTAATTTGTTTACGGAATCGTTACTTAGATAATAATCATGGTCACTCACAAAAAAGGCGCTGCCTCGAGTTCCGATCAACGATTCGAATCGACTGTCCAAGAGCCGTTAATACATAGTTAAATATCACGTACTGCGTGCATAAACTTTGGACTTTTCCGTCTATTGCTTAATCACCAATCTGCGTGATTTTCCTCGATCAACACGGATTCGTCGAACGAGTGCCACTGCCTTCCATTGAATGTCGACTGGGATCCTATCGGGGCTCGGCTTGTTTCACCTTCGTGTAGAACAGTTATTGCTAACTGAAAACTCCGTTAAACGATCGTGCGATTATTGATAATTCCTAAGCGGTGACTGGGCTTTTGTTACGCTTGGAACAGAAGGAACTGTGCGACTTGATTGAAAATTTCCCGACCGCAACGAAACCATGGGATTGACTATAGTTCGTACATCGTGTGGAACTTGGACTGGTTTAATATCTGCGAACAACCCTACAGAACACAGGAGACACTTGAACGAAATTTTGAAAGAAGCCACGATCAAAGAAACAATTTGTTCGACGAGAGGGTCTCGCACGATGAGAAAGGGAGAGTGTATCGTGAAAAATCCGGGTTTTCCAACAGGATTTCACGAGAAAGGGTCGCGTCCGGTCGAGTGCCCTCGGAAAGCTCTCGTTCCTATCATATTTATGAGACATCGAATCGCGGGGTAAATCATGGTCGTTGAGAAAGTGACGAGCCCTACATGCGTGCTGCTGACGTGTTACGTACGAGTGAGAAATCGGCTCGAAAGCACGCTGTTCGAATCCAGGCCACCCTTTGAAACCTGTCGATTTCCCGCCAAGGGGAACGCGTTTCCATCGCTTTTCTATCCGCCGCCTCCCCCCCGTTTGGCACGCAATCGCCCGGTAGATTCGAGGATCGAGTCGAATTCATCGCACTCGCCGCATTTAGCAGCTGTCGAACCCGATCAAGATCGTTACGTTCGTGATCTGGAAATCTGGTGAAACGGGAGCGAAACGATACACGCCTCCCTTTGTCCGGCGACAATGCTACGAAATAACAGGGTCGTAGGCCTGTGCTCCTGGATCGAAGGGAGATCGTATGAAACAACGATTAGTGAGGACACAGCCGGTCCCTCCGAAAAGGAACGCGACACGAAGTCTTTCTTTCCTGGCTGTGGCAGTTCTTTATAATAGAGAGCGGACACGGGTATAAACGGGATCGATTCAAAATTAATCCTCTATTGTCGCATAGCTCCTTTTCACAGTACCTACTGGATCTGTTCGCTGTGGGATCGTCCCGAGAAAGTGTCGTTTCAAGAAACGAGCATTCAATTGATCGAAAGAATCGTGTCTGACCAATGTCGCACCTATTCTACTGAATACGTCCATCCTCGTTTGGAACAAAATTACTTACGGTAAAAATGCCGGAACTATTTTCGAGCAATGTTATCATAAGTTTCCTCTTCGGGAAAACAGTGCTGAAGAATCAAGCAGTGTTCCAAGAAAATCCGTTGGTCGGATCCGGGTTACGCAAGACGAATCGATCGGAGGAAAAATCGAGAAGCTACATGACTTTTTGCACGTCTCGCGACGAAACGCCAAGTGCAATTTTCTAGCGACGGAAGAGAAGACGTCGGAGTCATCGGGTTGCGTCTGGTCAGAGATTGTTACGCAACGCAAGGCGCCCGGCGCTGCACAGCCTGACTCCGGTGTTCTGCCAGCAAACAACTTACATAATGCCGTATATTTATCCACCGGCACCGAGTTTACTGCACTACCGACAACGTCCCCCCTCTCTCTCTCTCTCTCTCTTTTGTACACGGTAACGCCGGCACGCGTGTCGGGAAAAGCGTGCTCCAAAGCGAACGTGTTCATTACGCGGCCTCGGCTGCCAGCGAAACACGCGTCACGTGTCCGCGGCCGCTGTCTCATTAAGAAACGCCGGCTGCTTTTCGGTCCGCACTGCTCTATCGGGCCGCGTATTCATTAAGAAACCGTGTTTGACTATTTCCAACCAACATCTACGCAGACCTCTTTTACCAGGGAAATGCGATCTTAAACACTGCGAGAAAGAACGTGCGACTTTTAACGATTACCTCGGTTGCAAATATGTAAGCTTGAGAGTTTGTCGCAAGAAATCATTAGAGACTTCGATGAACGATGGAAAAACGTGTACGGAATCGGTGTTACAATCATGTTACTCCGCAATTCCGAGCATACTACGTTCGAAACGTGAAACACCACTCGCAGATGTTCACTGATATTATGTATCGAACGAGATATCCAACGATGTCGCCGGCCAAGTGAACAGATAGACGTATTCCTAGGAATCTCTTATCGCGTGCTCGCACGTACGCATGAGATAGCTCGACTTCACAGAGACGCAATAGCACGGGAATAGACGGTAAACAGGCACCGACGCCAGACGACGGTGTCTAACCTAGCCCAAGAAAAAGCTGATTGCCAACCTCCCGGTAGCTTCGATATAAGGTAAAGGAGGTAGTACCTGGACACTTTTGAACATAAATTTTTTATAATGTTTTTTTACTACGAAATTTAAGCATAGTACATGAAAACTTATCATCTTAGCAGATAGCTGGGATCTCATAGTCATATTTAAGAAAAAAAAACCTTCTTTTGTAATATATGTATTAAAATAATCGCATTAAAAAAAAATTGCTGTCAACCGCAGTAGTAGGACACATTTAATCTGAACGAGTGGTGTAGTAGGACAAGTATGGAATCAGAACTGGGACAATATTATTATGACGCCTCTAAGCGAATTGAGAAACAGTTGGATTAAGAGAAAGGGTTGAAAAGTTATGAAAATACACTAAATCATTTATTGTGAAAAATATATCATACGTTTGAATGGGTTTTATAGCAGATCCGAATTTATCCAGGTATTGCAGCGCGATTAATTAGTGAGGGGGCTAAACCTGGACAGCCACTGCCGTCTTGTCCCACTTGTACGTATTAAGTTTCAAAAAGGAGTGTAAACTTGGACAGTAAATTATTAAATACATATCTATTATGTCCAAGTACTGGTTCCAAAATTCGTTTTGTCCCAGTACTACCTCCTTTACTTTATGATCAGCCGTGTTCATCCGGTAAGCGCAGAAAACGAAAGCTGCAACGCGGTTTCAGAATCCAATTGATTCGTCTTCCAATTTGGCTAATAAGAACGATTGAAATTTCAGCTTCAGCGAGCTTCGATCTCTTATACGATTTAATCCTCAGACCATGAAAATTCATATAATTTGTTCGTTTTTAGGTAAAAATCGCCTATTTTGTTTAACAGACAAAGTGTGGTAATTCTTTGGACAGGATTGGACTCTATTGTAGGACTACTGTCGCTGATGCGACGGTCATAAAATTTGATCTCAAGTACACAGTGAAGCGATGTCGTTCAATTATTTTCGTGGTTCATCCTTATTCGCGAAAAACGTAAGTTCGCGACGCAGTAGGTCCCTCGACGGCTCGGTGCATGATTCACCGGGCACATTGATATATGAATGTATACATATAGAAGAACAAACGCGATACCACGGTCCATCACGTAGAGGCGCACGGTCACGTAGCCAGTTTATTGCGCGCAAGCGTGCAAGTTCATAAGAACGTGACGTAACAGCAGGTATCTCTTTCGCACTCGAGCGGTTTCTTCGCGAAGCGAACCGCGCGAGGTGATACGCGTGGGTTTATGCTGACGTTGTGTATAATAACGCAACCTCGACAGACGGAATTACACTAACCTAGCGCAAAGAAAAAACCGGTCGTCCCACCGGGTGTCGCATATATGTATAACAGCGTACAAACATGTTTATCCGGAACGCGATTCCGTGACGCATTCTAATGACACGAATAGCAGAGCATTGTATGCGTTTTACGGATCAGTGAAGCCTCTTGGCGAAGCCGGGCCGTGAACTTTAACTCCGCGAGATACCAGGATATCGCGAAAGAAAGTGGCTCGCCCAATTCTATAATTAAACGCGAGCCGCCAGTCAACTCTTAAACGTATCGTTCTAATCTTTTATCCAGTTTCACTCTTAGACAAGGAGTTTCATGGTACCAAGTCTATTTTTAATCCGGCTTTTAAACAGATAACGAGACAAAATATAGTGAGAACCGTCAATGGAAAATTCCAATGGCGTTGGCGAGGTCGTGGTGTATCGGAGACGATCATCCGATAAGAAGAGGGCAAACCGGGAGATCTCTTTCAGGGTTGATAACGGCTCGGCGATATCGGTTTTATCAGGCTTGGCCGCGTGGAGTGGGAACGTCGTTCGGTGGCCGCCGCGTGCTGCCGGTTGGCTGACGCTTAAGAATAGAGCTAGTAAATAGCTCCGGCAACGATATATTACTAACCTAGCCCAACGCAGCGCGCGTTGCACGGCCGGCTCGACCCTGAGGCAAAAGTAGCGACGTGTACTGCCTGCTCGCGGCGCGGCCTAGCCTCTAGCCTAGCGGTCGTTGACTGATTATTTTATGCGCTCGACGCAACTACGTGTATCTTTTCTACGTGTATCCAGGAAACCAACGGTCATCCACTACGTTTTTTTAGACATTTCTATTCTATTTATTATTATCGATTATTTCGCTCTTTGAACAAGCGAAATTCGAGTCAAAAGGAAAATCCGAGCTAAATTGTTTAAACTAATTGCAAGAGTAGAACCAACGGAATACCGACAGCGTTTTGAAATAAAGTTGAGTTATTTTATTTGCCTATTCAGTATAATTTTTAACTTGATAACAGAATGAAACAACGTGAAATTAATTAATGCAACTGTTGCGTTCTAACATTATACATATGAATTATTATAGGAAGTATCAATTAGTACATGAATTATTTTGCATGAACCATTATGTCAATTTTCTATTGTACTACTTACAGCTGACAGTGTATGATGGAACACGATTTTTGAGAATCGACTGGTTAACAGGAAAAGAAATGTAGCTGACAAGTCTGCCTGTACGCGTCTCCCTTTTTCCCGGTTTCTGTTTGCTATTCGCGTATCTGGCTTCGTAGCGTGTGTGCATTGCGTCTTTATAAAGGCATACAGTTTTCAAACAATCGAGCGAGCGAACACGCGCGGCTAATGCGCCCATTGTTCCTTTACCAGCCATGGAGAATACGCGGGAAAACAATGGGATTACGGAACCTCGCTCTTTTCCGGCCAGATCGTTTTTTCAAACCGCGGATGCCGCAATTCGAAACTATGACCGACAGACGAGACCCTGAATTAGGACCGACCGTGGGTCCGGTTTTTATAGTCAAAAGGAAACGCGAGAGAAATTGACGAAAAACGAATCGTTTTCTCGAGATTTCAAGATTCGCATCGTTAATTACCTCGGTTCTATTCATAGGTCGGTCGATTTATTTCAAATGACGCATAGCACTTAAACGAACGACTGCAATTAGCGTTACGACGTTCAGTTTTTAACGCGCAGTTCGTAAAATACGGTATTTTTATGTTTCTTCCATCAAGGGATTTCATGCATTTATACATAAATACGCAGTACTTTTGAACAGTGAAAAAAATATCAGTTTCGTAACAGAAATTGGGTCTTATCTCGTTGTGACAATCAGCGTAGGAATAATGCTAAAGGGGCACGATGATAAACGTCGAATAAACAGTTCAATTTTCGTCTATTCCTGACGACCCTCGCATCAATGGTTTCATCAATAAAATTTGATTGGTACCCATCAAACAAGCCCACAATTTATATACGAATTTTTAAATTGGTATCTGAAAAGTTTTATTTGACAGTCAATTGTATTAGCAGTGTACGCACGTCAACTCCACCGCGATTATCGCGTAGCGTGACTATATAGAGGAACACGGTGGTACTACGCGTCAAGATTCGCTGGCAGTGGCTTGTGAAAAACAGCGGCGTTAAATATACAACGGCGTCGCGATAACGAGGCGCAATATTCATCTCGCAATTAGAACCGAACGAATCACCTTTGCAAACAAGCGTTTTCTACCGGTGGAAAATTTCCTGTACATTCTCATGCACTTACACAATATTTGAATGGAAAACGATGCATAAAAATACAACAGATAATTCGAGTGTTGCATTACCAGATCGTTAATGAAATTCCTCTGGACGAATTTAACTGAAAGATGCAGTTTCGCATAAGAATCCGAGGTCCGAGTGATTGATTCTCAATTAGCTCGGCGCCGAGAAAGCGAATTCCGAAATTCCCAACCGCCCACGAAACACCTTTTTGGCTGGCACCGAAACGGGAATTCTAATTCGAGAGGCAAGCGCGTTGAACGTCCGGCAGACACCCCACGAGGCCATCGCTAATTTATTCTGCCAACGGAGCCGCGGACGCAGCATTCGTCAGCCAATCGCCTCTTCAAACGCTTCAATTCTTTATTCTTCGAGCAGAAGTATGAGAATTTTCATAACGATCCTCGAATACCGTCTCGTCGAACCTTATCGTCAGTTTTCAATTATTCACATTCTTTCCAAAGTCATAGTAACTCAATGGACTCAGAGACGATTTATAAAATATTCAAAAACATTTCTCCTCGAATTGCCACTACTAAATTACTGCCAGAGCCTGATATTTCCATCGTCCCCAAAATAGTCACGCTACAACGAATCATGCTTAACGGGCTGGAAATAGAGAGAGTAGGGTGCAAGAAAGAAATGAACTTCCTGTTTGGTCAGCCACCTGTGCGACACAAAGGGCCTTGCAAAGGATATTTCTTGACATGGTACATTAAATTCGCACGTATTTCCTAACCATTGGAAGTCGACCGAAAATGAATCATAGTGGAATAACGCCAAGTTGTGACGACAAATAACGTTGCATCGACGTTCGTCACTCAAATACATGTCATACAATCTTTCGAAAATTGTTTTTAATATAAAAATGGGCAATATCAGTGATCTGAATACTTGAAAAACGTATTTAAGCCGGGACATTCATTGTCCCTCATTGAGTTTATAGCGCGGCCATGTTCCACATTAACGAGACAGATCCTTCCTCCTGCGTGAGAATACTCAGGACAACTTTGGACAACACGGTATGCAAATGCCCGATCTCGGAGAGATCTTAATGGTCACCTTAAAACTCCAAACGACCCCGGGGAAAACATTAGCTCTTGTTCTCGCTTAGGTAACGCCCTCGCGTTTAATATCCAAAGTAATCGTAACGGAACAATGAGGATTGGCAGTAAAATGGCAACCCGAAAATTGCGTTGTAAACAAAAGTTGTCAGACGTAAACTTTGATGTTCCTCGTCTCTCAAGAATTTTAGTATATCCAAAAATTCAACGGACCAGCAAGACCTAGTCACTCACTAATTTTAAATGAATATTTTTTATCGGTTCTTATCTCCTCTGAAGTATGAAGATCACTTACTTGATTGCGAATGGTGAGCGACGTTCGGATAAGATTACTACTTGCGGGATCAATTCCATAAATAAGGAGCTTTAAACTTGTGGCCCTTCTCAATTATTAACGGCTGCCGGGTCGATTGGCGGTCACGCGAGCGCAGACAAATTGTAAAGATGATTATCGTTTAAACTCGTACAATGCACAGAGAATTTAGGCGCGGGACAAGATGGGAGGTCGAAAGAATTTCTTGGCAACCGTCCTGACACTGATTCATTCATGTCGCGTCAACTGACCTGCGACAATGTTTCCGCGTCGGGCACGCGATTCGAAAATACACACAGGTACACCAAGAGTTGCCGTGCGGTCTCGTAATAACCCGGATTATCAAGTTGAGTCGCGGCGCGCCTCGAAATTAAATGATAATGCGCGTTTTACCTCGAATTCGTGGCGCCATGCAAATTAGAGGAAGTGGCGAGGCGGCATAAAAGTCGCGAGACCGCGTGGCACACGCTTTCAACCCTCACCCTCTAAGAAATCCTTTGTACGCTTTTATTCTGTCACGGAAACCTTCAGAGAGACCTCGCAAATATTTCGCAAAGAGTCTCGGGCACGGTTCAATCGTGGACACACGCTAAGCCGCTTTCTCTGGGGTTGTTTCAGCCAGAACGTAAGATCGCAGAAACAGAAAACACTGCCTTAGGCTCTCGCTTTCAACTCCCTTCCCTTTGCCAACTCAAAGAAACGCGAGACTAATATTTTTTAATTACTGCAACGCCAGACCAAGATCGCGTTTCCTTACGTGTATCACGCACCAGAGGAGTGTTATAATTGAAATTAATACAGTGATTCCTATACTGATCGATACTATGTAGAAAAATTGTGCATACATGTATACATAATATACATAAATTAATTGTCATTCCACATTAGATATTCTACCGTTGCAATTATTTAACGAGGACTAAAGGATCTCAAAAGAGTAGAACAACTAGAACGAATTGCTGGCAGGATGAAATCCCGGTGCTCGTTTTTCAGTTCCGGCCTCTTTTTCTCTCTGCGTAAAAGTGACAAAACGCCGCGATTACGGGGAAGTCAGTCCCGCGAGGGTCCGAGCCGGATGACACGCCTGAGACCTCTTTCGAATTAGCCAGCGGAGGCCGTTTTTCAGCTTGACCGTCCGTACACTACCGTTCCACACGACTCCCGTCCTTTTTCCCGTGTTTTCTCTTTGACGAGCGTCGCTCTTTCGTCTCTTTGACAATTTCTTTTGGCCGCGGGCGAGAAAGTCGCGTTTACCGCCTCTTTCGTGTCACGCGACGATCATCGAAACCAGTAATGACGCTCGTCGCTTCTGATACTGTGAGATCCGTTCGAATTTTTCACAAGTTCATCGATTCTGCATAAAATTACAGAATAATGTGGTAACTAAAAATCGCGATCTCTCCGATAACGATATCCCATGTCCGAGATTACTCGCAATTACTTTACACCTACCAGAAGACTCGTTTCCCGCGGTTTGCATGCAAAACGGTCATAACCGTTCACTCCCGTAAGATGGTCAGAGTGCGACGACTTGGCGATTAAAATCAACCAGGAACTAAGAACACCTCAGACTCGCAACTTCCATACGAACAGCTATCTGGCGTTTTTTATTTCTATTTTTCACGAGAAAAAGCGGACATTTTGCAAAAGGTGAGCACGGCCTGAAGAATCGCGGCGGATTATCTCGAAGCAGATATCGAGCCTGGTTCACGCTTAGCAAGCAGCGAGATTATAATCTGGCGACCACCAACGTGCAGCAGCACAGTGGTTCGATATCGATCGCGATCTACAACGTGTTTTATTCGCGTGGCTGTGTACGCGACAAAGCCGGATTTCTTCCTGCCTATGCGTCTCGTTATAGATTACGCGGCTCGCTGGATTTTAATCGAACCGCGCGGGGGACCCGCGTCCTGCCAATTTGCGGACGCGATGGCTACGGATTCCATGCGCCGGTGCAAGTTGATAAAGTTCGTGGACAGTGTCGCGAGGCATCCGATAACGGAAATTTATGTCGATCGTGAGAGAAAGGATCGAGAAATTCAATAGGCGAGATAGATCTAATCTAATGGCGCGAGAACACGGCTTCCGCGACTCGCGTTTCACCAATAAACCTCGGTGTCGCGAAACGCCTGCTTAAATTTCCGGCTTTTTTTTTTCGAACACGGAGATCGAGACTCGATGGTATCTCGAAAATTCCCGCTACAGGAGAGATCCAGAAAGTACGCGAGTCAAAGAGTTGCGGATTTTTATGCAAAATAAAAGATTCAAAATGTATCATATAGAAGTACATTTTAGAAATTAATTTCTTTCAAGTCTCGGTAC